CCCCCCCCCCCCCCGCCCATTAAAGTTTAACCAGATGACTCTTACATAAAGCATAACATATTTTAAAAGTCATCAGAACTTCAGATAAACAGGTGATTATAACAATGACTAAGAAATCACCAAAATCACTTGGACTAAAAATGGGAGAAAATTTTTTTACATCAATACTAACCAAAAACTATATATTTTTTTACAGATACTTTTTTATTTATTGAAATTATACCATGTATACTGTCTTGAAAATAACAATAAATTATGTAACATATCATTAGCAACATAGGTTCGTTTTCTACATGGTTATTTCATCCTGACAAGCCAGAAATGCTGAATCATCATTCTATTGGTGGCATAATCCACAGGTGACAAATTGGAGATTCTACTCATGTCAACAGGCCAGGGATTACCTCAGTTCATTAAACCTGAGTGTTAGGTATCCTGGAGAAACATGGTTTGCAGACAAAAGTAGGTCAAAAGTGCCATTTATCTGGAGAAGCTGGTTGCTTTCAGGGCCTTTACTACGAGCTTCACTACTGAATTTTTTTAGAAGTTCCTTTTAGAATGAAACATAATCTCAAATATTTTTATGTGTGTCTGAGTCAGAAGTTAATGTATTTAAACTTCAAGACCCTATTTATACAAGTTCCTTCCAAGTCCTTGTTCCTGTGTTTTTATTTCTAACTTTTCCTAACTATATAGTTTTATTTTTAACTATATTATCATTAAACTCCAATTCAAACTAGAACACATCTTATGTAAACAAGTTTATGCTGCTTGAATTCTATTTCTAAGAACGCAAATGTACTTCAAAATTACTACATTGTATTTAACACCATTATTGGTACTCTACAGGGTCACCAATCTGTTGTTAGTGGCATATATTGCTATTTTTATCTTTTCTTACCTTCACCTACCTAGGAGTATTAGGAACTTTTAAACTCTTCTGTGACGATTTAGGTCCTTCATAAGCATAAAGTGCAGCACTAAAGCTATATATAATTAGTGAGGGTTTATCTGACAGTGCAAACACGGACAAGCCCAAACCTTGCAGTATTCTTTCTACTCCCCCAAGGGGCCCAATACGGAGATGCAGGCAGCAGGCCAGTGTTCGCAGGCAGGTATCTCTGCGATTCATCGTTGCTCGTGGTTGGCAAAGGGTTGTAGAAACCTTTAGAGAATCCCGCGGGCTCTTTCCCCATCCTCCCCACACCCCGCCCCGGGCACCCACCCTGCTGCCCCGCGTCACCTGGGACGTCTGAGCTTCCGTCCAAACGCGGAGCCGCTCTCGCGGCGCGCCGGGAACTGGCCCAGACCCGTCCGCGGCCCCGGCCCCGACCCCGGGCCCGGCGGGGTAGTTCCGCTGCTTCCGCGCGGCCTCCTCCAGACGGCAGCCCTTCCTCCGCAGGGCCCAGGTCTGCCTGCTCCCCCGGCGCCCCGGGTTCAGCAAATGGCTCCTGGGTGCTGTCGCTGTCACTAGAGTCTGCTTGGCGCTGCCGGAAAGTCCTTTTCGGCCTGTGAGCCATAGCAGGTTCACTTCCTGCTCAGGCTAACCCAGGCCTACAGCAGCCACCCAGGCGCGCGCTCCCGCCTCCCGCCTTTCCGCCGCATGCGTGCGCCCTACCGGCGCGTCTTCGATTCCAGCTTCGCCATGCGCATGCGTGCTTTCTTCCCTTTGATCTGTTCGACCGAGTTCGGTTCCCAGGGCTGAGGCATATAAAGCGTTTTTACTTTGCAAGGCCAGCTTGGGCAGATGGTCGCAGAGAATCTCGCTGACTTCCAGAGGTGAGTTCCACGGAAAGCTGCACTCACAGGCTCTCCTTGTGCAAACCATATCTGGGAATCAGGCGTTATGCCCACATCCTGGACTGGGACTGGATCTGCTCTTCTACTTTCTGGAGAGAGTGAAGTTCTCTCTCCAACCAAGAATTAAAACAGAAAAAAAAAAAAAAAAAAAAAAAAAAAAACAAAAAAAAAAACCCCGTAAAAAAAAAAAAAAAAAAAAAAAAAAAAAAAAAAAAAAACCAAGCAAAAAACCCGCAGGTGTGTGTGTGTTTGAGATTGTCTCTGAAAGCTAAACAGTAAAATCTGCACATAAATGATAGGTGCACAAATAAGCAAAAATCAAATGATTGCTTCCAAGTATCAAGGCTTCAGTCGAACCTGGTTAAATACGTTGGTCCATAAGAAAAAAAAAATGTATTTGAAAAATGGGGATGTTATTTAAAAAGAAGCACAGAGATAAGAAGGACAGCCCCACAGAATTACCTTTAGAAACAGGTAGAGAGCAAGAAGCCTTTTTAGGTACCCATAATCATCACTACTTTATATTATTTGCTCTTTCTTATGAATATGAGGAATTTCTTCCCCCAAGATGGCATGAATAATGCCATATATCTTATTTGCCCCCACTATACTAATTTACAATACTAGCTTATTAAATTAATCAACTGGTTATTAGGAAACTTTGCATTATTCATCTTTTATATAATTTAAAATTGCAGAGGTTAATAATTGAAAGAAAATTGGCATATGAAATACTCCCAGCTTTTGGAAATCGTTTATCCCCTAGTGAAGTGACATTTTATTCTGCTTCTCTAGCCATTGATCAGTGGGTTCTGAGCTCCCTCTAGTGAGAAATGTGCTACTTACAGAAGGATTGTGTCAATCTTGGAAATTGCCTCCTTTCTCATAATAGAGCTACTTTTCATTCTCTCTTGTTACAAGTAATGGATATATTTTCATTTTAAAGCCAAACCTACATCAGATTTTCTCAGATAACAAATATTGAGAAGTCGTATTAATAAGTTATCACTCTCTCCTTTGGGAATTAAAAACACTTTTTGTGGAAATAGATCCACAAAAGTATGGACCTAATTTTGTTTTCATTTTTTCAGTATCTATTTTTTAGCACTTACTATGACGGTCTCTTGTCCTGGGCCCAAAGGGTCATGATATACATGGGGGTCATGCTCCCGGTAGTCAGGTGCTATTAGCCAAATTATCCCTACAGTTTGGCTTGTTGGAAATTACTTTAAAAAAAAAATGATGCTCAAAATACTTAACGTAAGATCTACACTCGTAACAAATTTTTAAGTGTACAGTACAGTATTGTTCGTTATAAACACAATGTTGTACAGCAGATCTCTAGAACTTTTTCCTTTTAACCAAAGCTTTTTACCGGTTGTACTTTAACTCCCAATTCCTCCTCCTTCCTGCCCCTGGCAATCACCATTCTCCTTTTTGCTTCTATGAGTTTGGCTATTTTAGGTACCTCATGTAAGTGGAATCATGCAGTATTTACCCTTCTGTGATTTAGCATAATGTCCTCAAAGCTCATCCATTTTGTCACATATAGTGGGATTTCCTTCCCTTTAATGCGGAATGATATTCCATTGTCTATATATACCACATTTTCTTTATCCATTCATTGGACAATAGACATTTAGATGGTTTCCATACCTTGGCTATTGTGAAGAGTGTTGCAATAAATGTGGGAGTGCAAATATGTCTTCAAGATCCTGATTTCAATTCTTGTGGATAAATACCCAGAAGTGGGACGGCTGGGTCATATGGTAGTTTTATTTTTAATTTTTTGAGGAGCTTCCATACTGTTTTCCATAACAACTGCACATTTCACATTCCCACCAACTGTGTGCAAACATTCCAGTTTCTCCACAACCTTGCCAACACTTGTTGACTATTGATTGATTGACTGATTGATACCGGCCATCCTAGCAGATGTGAAGTTATATCTCATTGTGATTTTGATTGGCATTTCCCTGATTAGTGATGTTCAGCATCTTTCACATAGCTGTTGGCTTCTTTGGAGAAAGTCTATTCAAATCCTTTGCCCATTTTAAAATTGGGTTATTTGGTTTTGTTGTTGTTGTTGGTTTTGTTTTGTCACTGAGTTGTAGTATTACCTTATATATTTTGGATATTAATCTCTTATCATATATATGGTTTGTCAATATTTTTCTCCCTTTCCATAGTTTGCCTTTCCACTCTGTTGATCATTTCCTTTGCTAGGCAGAAGCTTTTTAGTTTGATGTAATCCTACTCATCTATTTTTGATTCTGTTGCCAGTGCTTTTGGCATCATATCCAATAAATCATCGCCAAGACCAATGTCATGAAGATTTTCCCTTAAATTCTCTTTTAAGAATTTTACAGTTTAAGATTTTATGTTTAAGTGTTTAATATATTTTGAAATGATTTTTGTATATGGTGTAAGATAAGCATACAATTTTGTTCTTTTGCATGTGGATATCCAGTTTGCCCAACACCATCTGTTGAGAGACTATTTTTTCCCATTGTGTGTTCTTGGTACTTCCGTCAAAGATTAGTTGACCTTATATGTCTGGGTTTATTTCTGGATTCTCTATTCTGAATCATTGGTCTATATGTGTCTTTATGGCAGTACCATACTCTTTTTTTTTTTTTTAATCTTACTTGAAACTTCTGTGTGTTCTTTTTTTTCTAACATCTTTATTGGGGTATAATTGCTTTACAATGGTGTGTTAGTTTCTGCTTTATAACAAAGTGAGTCACTTATACATATACATATGTTCCCATATCTCTTCCCTCTTGCGTCTCCCTCCCTCCCACCCTCCCTATCCCACCCCTCCAGGTGGTCACAAAGCACTGAGCTGATTTCCCTGTGCTATGCGGCTGCTTCCCACTAGCTATCTACCTTATGTTTGGTAGTGTATATATGTCCATGCCTCTCTCTTGCTTTGTCACAGCTCACCCTTCCCCCTCCCTATATCCTCAAGTCTGTTCTCTAGTAGGTCTATGTCTTTATTCCTGTCTTACCCCTAGGTTCTTCATGACATTTTTTCCCTTAAATTCCATATATATGTGTTAGCATACGGTATTTGTCTCTCTCTTTCTGACTTACTTCACTCTGTATGACAGACTCTAGGTCTACCCACATCATTACAAATAGCTCAATTTCGTTTCTTTTTATGGCTGAGTAATATTCCATTGTATATATGTGCCACATCTTTATCCATTCATCCGATGATGGACGCTTAGGTTGTTTCCATCTCCGGGCTATTGTAAATAGAGCTGCAATGAACATTTTGGTACATGACTCTTTTTGAATTATGGTTTTCTCAGGGTATATGCCCAGTAGTGGGATTGCTGGGTCATATGGTAGTTCTATTTGTAATTTTTTAAGGAACCTCCATACTCTTCTCCATAGTGGCTGTACCAATTCACATTCCCACCAGCAGTGCAAGAGTGTTCCCTTTTCTCCACACCCTCTCCAGCATTTATTGTTTCTAGGTTTTTTGATGATGGCCATTCTGACTTGTGTGGGATGACATCTCACTATAGTTTTGATTTGCATTTCTCTAATGATTAATCATGTTGAGGATTCTTTCATGTGTTTGTTGGCAGTCTGTATATCTTCTTTGGAGAAATGTCTATTTAGGTCTTCTGCCCATTTTTGGATTGGGTTGTTTGATTTTTTTGTTATTAAGCTGCATGTGCTGCTTGTAAATTTTGGAGATTAATGCTTTGTCAGTTGCTTCATTTGCAAACATTTTCTCCCATTCTGAGGGTTGTCTTTTGGTCTTGTTTATGGTGTGCTTTGCTGTGAAACAGCTTTGAAGTTTCATCAGGTCCATTTGTTTATTTTTGGTTTTATTTCCATTTCTCTAGGAGGTGGGTCAAAAAGGATCTTGCTGTGATTTATGTCATAGAGTGTTCTGCCTATGTTTTCCTCTAAGAGTTTAGTAGTTTCTGGCCTTACATTTAGGTCTTTAATCCATTTTGAGCTTATTTTTGTGTATGGTGTTAGGGAGTGATCTAATCTCATACTTTTACATGTACCTGTCCAGTTTTCCCAGCACCACTTATTGAAGAGGCTGTCCTTTCTCCACTGTACATTCCTGCCTCCTTTATCAAAGATAAGGTGACCATATGTGCATGGGTTTATCTCTGGGCTTTCTATCCTGTTCCATTGATCTATATTTCTGTTTTTGTGCCAGTACCATACTGTCTTGATTACTGTAGCTTTGTAGTATAGTCTGAAGTCAGGGAGCCTGATTCCTCCAGCTCCGTTTTTCGTTCTCAAGATTGCTTTGGCTATTCGGGGTCTTTTGTGTTTCCATACAAATTGTGAAATTTTTTGTTCTAGTTCTGTGAAAAATGCCAGTGGTAGTTTGATAGGGATTGCATTGAATCTGTAGATTGCTTTGGGTAGTAGAGTCATTTTCACAATGTTGATTCTTCCAATCCAAGAACATGGTATATCTCTCCATCTATTTGTATCATCTTTAATTTCTTTCATCAGTGTCTTATAATTTTCTGCATACAGGTCTTTTGTCTCCTTAGGTAGGTTTATTCCTAGATATTTTATTCTTTTTGTTGCAATGGTAAATGGGAGTGTTTTCTTGATTTCACTTTCAGATTTTTCATCATTAGTGTATAGGAATGCCAGAGATTTCTGTGCATTAATTTTGTATCCTGCTACTTTACCAAATTCATTGATTAGCTCTAGTAGTTTTCTGGTAGCA